TTTCTTTTGATTAAAACGCTAGTATTGTCTGTGTAAAATTGAATTTTAAATATTTTTGATGTTATTTGGTTCAAAATTTGAGATCTATCTTATAAAATAGTAAGTTATAAGATTGAAATTGAAAAAATTGGGCAAACCCGAACCCAACCCGAGTAAGCTCGAACGCAATTTAAACCTAAATCCGAATAAGCCCACATAAACCCGAATTAAGAATGTTGGTTTAGGGTTGGGTTGACCATCTAACCCGCCCAACCCACCCGAATTGCACCTCTAAGCTTATTAATGTCTAATGGTTGATGATATATATATATATATATACATATATATATATATATATATATAATGACGTTATTTTCACACTAGACATTTTTTTTTCTTCACATTTCTCTTTTCATTTATGGCCATCAAATTGAATATATCAAACAAAAACAATGAACATAATTAAATAGAAGTGTGTGAGAAGCTAAAGTAACACATTGACAGATTGGTTTACCCATGTTGTCTAAGGTAACGCATTGACAACCTCAAGTGGCCAATCAATTAATCATGTACATTCATAATTTTAACCTAATTGTTTGAGTATAGAGATACATTTTTACAATATAACAAGCTGTTTAAAACTGTCATATATGGGCCACTTAGTACTACGGTTTAGTGGTATTTTTCTTCACTTGTAAGTGAGAGGTTTTAGGTTCGATTCTCGCCAAATGGGAATTTAAACCACATTATTGCTAGCCTATTGTGAGGCTTAGCCCACTCCCCTTCCCTTTAGTATAAATAATATCGTTTGTTTAAAAAAAAAAAAAAGACATATATGGGTTTTCTACAATGTTTAGTAACGCCTTGACAACATTAATTTGACGATAAAATTCACGTGAGGCCAATTAATTAAGAAACTAACAAGGGTGCCAGATAAGGTTCTCTGAATCAAGGCAAAGTCTCATCTACCTCAAGCGATGAAGAGATTTTTCAATATGCCGATAATATTGTCTAGTCTCTCTGTCAGTTTCGATCCCAGTACATATTCTATTCGAACATCAGTCACATCCAACAATGTAAATGAATGCATACATTTCTGAAGGATAATTTTTCCTCTTGATGAAAGAAACGCATAGAAGTCCTCAATCTTTCGATTTTGCTGCTAGTGCAACTAACTTTTATTGCAAACATGAACTACTAGTGTGGATTCGCGTATGGATTCGTAACATTATTTTTTTATATAATTTTTTACAGATATTTTGTGGGACTCACTCAATAATGTTTTAAATCTTACTTCAAGGGTCATATATACCAAAAATCACTTAAATCTAAAAACTGTATGACTGTTGGATTAAGGATTTATGGTATCTTTGTTGCGAAATTTAAACTAACCTAAATTAGTCCAACTTAGTTCCAAATTTTATGCTCGCAAACGTACGAATCGTTTGATAGTATAGAAAGCAAGCACTTAATATCGTCCTACAAAAATTAATCTAATTTTAAACAACTAACTTAAATCCAATTGCAACGTAGTAAAATTTAACAAAGATTAATAAATAATGATGGTTTTGAGAGTTGATGTCACATCCCGGTCGGGGGGGACCACTTCCCAGGTCCGCTCCACCACTATAGCACAATATTGTCCGCTTTGGGCCCCGACCACGCCCTCACGGTTTTGTTTTTGGGAATTCACACGATAACATCCCAGGATGGGTCCAAACTGACACACCTCAACCCGGAATGTCCACTAGGACCCCAAATCGAGCTGTGTTAGCCGACACCTGGAAGGTGACGAAGCCATAAAGTGTGATAGTCTATAAAACATGAATAAATTTGAACCTAAAAGTGTCTAAATACCAGAGTGCGCTACGAGTGGGAGAGAACCTATTTCACATGCGATGCTAGAGTATAAGTAAAGTACAGTAGTGTGGGTAAGAATCATACCCTTAAAAGTAGCCACCAATACTAAGATTAGCCATATATCATCGTCGAAACGAACTCAACAGTTAAAACCTGAAGGGGGGTACAAAACAGAAAGTGTGAGTAAGCAGTAAAACCAAGCTTTCTAAAACTATTACCGGCCCAGGGCGGATCACTTTCCGGGCTCGCTCCACCACCGTAGCACGATATTATCCACTTTGGGGCGGGATGTGACAGTTGATACTAAAAGTAAAACAAAACAAATGAAAACAAGAACATGTGATCACAATGCAAAAAGTGGCAGCCAAGAAAACAGGTTGTAATTCAATAGAGTAAAACACTAGAGCGTCCGACTCAGCATAACCAATCCTACTTGTTTCTTGCAATGAATTATTAACAAGTAATCCATCTCATTGATAATCAAATTTCCCTAATTCATGTAATATCCATGGCATCTAAACTATTATGTATATTCCACTATGCAACCATCCATGGCATCTAGATTAGTTTAACATAATGAAACTCATTACGATCAGTAGAAATTTATGTAAAGACTACACAAATCCTAGAGTATGGCATCTACTACTAGGTAATTTATGGTATCTATTTGCAAGAAGTTATCACTCAAGTTGAAAACATGACATCTGCACAACTTGCATCAAATTTACTAAGAAAAAGTCAAGATGGTAGCTAATCACCAATACTAAAACCAAGTACATAAGCACATCAAATGATACTCAATGAAATTTGAAAGCTTGAAAATAATTCAATTAAGAATTTAAGCATTCATAATCATGGCTACATCGGAGCCCTATCTAGAAGAAATTAGTTCCGAAACATAACCGGAAATATTATTGAATTCATTAAAAATTAAAAGAAAAATAAGTTCAGAAAAAGCCTGAAAATCCCCTTACTCTGCCACTGCCTTCTTCTCCTTACTCTGCCGATGCCTTCTTCAATGATAATCCTCCTTTTTTTTAATCTTTTTGTTTTCACTTCTTCTGCTTCATTTATGATTAGCCCCAATTGACTAGATTGATGCCCAGCCGTTTCTATTTTTCTTCTTTGTCTTCCCTTTTTTCACCGTAGCTTTTTTTCTCGTAACCGACAAAAGTTTAAAGCCAAGTTATTGCCTTGTACCGCCTGGGTTTACTCACTTCAGTCATAGCCTCCCAATCAGTTTCTTCGACTCTTAAGTTGCTTTGCAACTGAAATTTTAATCTCCCAACTCGACTTCCAATAAATCTGAAAGTGGCTAAATCCCCAAATCAATTGACACCAGTAAGTTATGGACCAATAACCAGAACCCATGCTCCTGCTAAGAACCCACGAATTGAAATTTGAAATGGAAAATTGGGTGCCCATCTTTCTGAATCATTCTCATTCCTAAACCGAGTTGTCGACGTGGTATGTATATCAGAAGAAAAAGTAGAGTTTTCTTCTCTCTTTTTTGTGCAAATGAAAAGATAAATGCAACCTAGTTGTTGGCCACGTGCCTTTTCCTTCACCCTTTGCAAAAGTTAAATAATACCAATGTAAACTATTGAAGCCCAATGACATACACAAATATAGGTCAATGATATTTGAAACAATTCCCGGACCTATTTGACTAGCCATGGAAACCAATAACTTATAATATAACTAGCCTCCATGCACACGCTCGTGCAGAAGGCATTTTTTGAATCACAATGTGCTATGCACAACTTACATATTTTAAATGTATATATATATATGTGTGTGTGTGTGTGTGTGTGTGTGTGTAAATTGACAAAAGAAAAGTCAAATATTTGAAGTAAATGAATAATCTTAGATCATGCTAGAAGAAACCTCTCATAAACCAATTAAAGCAGCTGAATTCACATAATAAAATCAGTCTCTATAGAATTTACATTAAGAATAGAGAAAATAATATTTAATAAACAATTGATTGAATTACATTATTGCTAGCTCATTGTGAGGCTAGGCCCACCCTCTCCTTCTTAGTATAAATAATATCGTTTGTTAAAAAAAAAAATCATTTAACAACTAATTTAATCACATTATTATCCGTGTGTGAAAAACTTTTTTTTATAACTGGCATTACACGCCTCTTAAGATGTTTTGAACATGTTTAAAATAGAGAAAATAATATTTAATAAACAACTGATTGAATCACATTGTTGCTAGTGTAACATTCCACATCGCCCAGCGGAGTGGATCTTGTAAACCTTATATGTATATTCTCATCTCTACCTAGCACGAGACCTTTTGGGAGCTTACTAGCTTCGGGTTCCATTGAAACTCCGAAGTTAATCGAGTTCGTGCTCGAGCAATCCCAGGATGGGTGACTCACTGGGAAGTTCTCGTGTGAGTTTCCAGAAACAAAACCGTGAGGGTGTGGTAAGGGTCCAAAACGAACAATATCGTGTTGCGGCGGAGTCGAGCCCGGGATGTGGTAGGGCCCGGGCCGGGATCAATTTATACATTCCACTCCATCAATTTTCTTGAGGACTTTATTTTTAGCTAGTACTAGTGCAGATATCTCAGTAGGTATTTTTAATGTCAAACTAACAAAAGACTAAAAGAGTACGTAGTTGCTATTTCATTTTTTTTTTTCAAGAAGGAAATGAAACAAATTGAGGATTTTAAATTTCAGATTTTTTATTAATGAAAATTAAGGATATTAGATAGTCCTACCTGGTTTTAAGACAGAAACCATATCCTAATTAAATTGTAGTTGGCAGTCAAACCCTAATGAACTCAAGTTCATCTGTACCTAGTTCATTCTAGAACGAGGGTTAGAAAGATTATAGTAAATTAATTATGCGTATCCGCTTACAATTTGACAGTAAATCCAAATTCAGTACCTTAGCATTGAGATAAAAAAAAAAATCTATTATGCTTCATTGTATAATATGCGTTAGATAATAACATTAAGATCTTTTCTTTTTTTATATTTGATCAAAGAGTCCAAAAAATCTAGCGAATTAAAACTCCGGTGTATACCATGCTCCAACGCAACATGCATAGCAAATATCTGATTTTATCTTCATGTCAAAAAATAGTTGAAAAAAATTGCCAACATTTTCCCCTTTAAATAGTGATAGATAAACTTGTGCAAGCACGTCTTGGAAGTGGTAGGGAGGGTGTTTGGTACTGCTACTAGCTTAGCTTTGTTTGTTTGTAACACTGGGAAAACCTTGTTTCGTCTCTCTCTCCCTCTCCCCCTCTCCCCCTCTCCAATTATTTGTTTTTTACTTGTGAAAGACCACTCCTTTTAAAAAACCAGCTCTTTCTCTCTCTACTCAAACAGTAGAAGAAACCCAACTCAAGATGCGCGTCCAACTCTCTGAACTTTGTTCTTCCTCCTCTTCCTGCTCATGAACTCAACGACCGCGGAATGGCCGAGGTGTCCAGAATGGATTTTGGGCTGATGGGTTTGGAGGGTTTGGTGGGTCCCGACGCTGGAGGAGGAGAGGCAGCGGGAAAAGTTGGTGACGGATCTGGCTCCGCCTCCACCAAGCAGCAAAGATCTTGGCCGGCGGAGGACGACTGGACGACCTCAAAAATGCCGAAAAACGAAGACTTGAATGCTCCCAAGACAATGCCATTGCAGTACCAGGGGACACCTCTGCTGAGATCTAATTCTCAGCTGCTTCCTCCTCCAGCTGAGACTCACAGGCAGGAGCAAATGCTGAGCTTTTCTAACAACAAATCAGAAGTCAGTTTTCTCAGCAAAGATGGAGACTTTGCCTACTACCAGAGGAATCCCAGTGCCATTCTCTCTCCTTACCCAAGGAATGCAGGCTCACCAGGTATTTATTTATTTAGTTCATTATTTTTTAATTTTTTTTGGGGTGGTGTGTTGGTGGTCAATGTTGGACATGGATTTTATGAGATGGGATTTGGGATGTGAAAGTGAAGGCAGAGATTTCATTTCAGGGACATTTTTGTGCAATTGATAGATGGGTTTTTGCTATAATTGTTGTCCCGTTGAGTCTTTTCATAAGGCATTTTGTAGAAATTTTAGTTCTCAGGTCTTTTCCTAGAAACAGCTCAAAGATTGATAGAAACCAAATGGGAAAAGAAAATAGGACTAGCAGATAAGACTTGTTTGGGATAATTTTTTTTTATAGTTTTTTTCGCGGTTTAAATGTAAATATAGTAAATTGTACAATGGTTGATGCAATGATTTTTTTTTTGTTTCAGGTTATGGAAGCTTGAATCTGAGCATGCATGGGCCTTTGACTGGGGCTAGAGGACCCTTCACTCCTTCTCAGTGGATTGAGCTGGAGCACCAGGCCTTGATCTACAAGTACATGACTTCAAATGTGCCTGTCCCTTCCAATCTGCTCATACCTCTCAAGAAACCCCTCTACACTTATGGCTTGTCTGGTCCTTCTAATCCCACCTCAAGTAAGCTCCTTCTATCGCTGCTCAACGATTTCTCGATTCATCGAAATGCATCTGTATTGAAATTTAATTTTTAAGTTTTAAACTTAAACTACTATTTGTTCAAAGAATGAAATTTCCAATTTTTATGTATGTTGTTCGAAAGTTCTGTCCAGGATAGTGCTTGCAATGAGTATGTAAATGCTAGGTTTGATTCAGAAATCGTGTTCTTCGTGTTTTCCCTTTTGTCTGATTTGTCTATTTTCCAATGCCTCTATATGTTGTGATTTTGATTTTGATATAGTAGCGTGGGGCGCTTACCATCTGGGCTTCTCTGGCAACAATGATCCCGAACCTGGGAGGTGTCGCCGGACGGATGGGAAGAAATGGCGTTGCTCGAGAGATGCTGTTGCAGATCAGAAGTATTGTGAAAGGCATATTAACAGGGGCCGCCATCGTTCAAGAAAGCCTGTGGAAGGCCAGCCTGGCCAGGCCGTCTCTGGGACCAGTAATTCAAAGAGGGTGCCTATGAATTCGTCAATGTCAACATCCGTGATGGCAAGCAATGGCGCATCCAACAGTGTCACAACCATGCCGCAGCAGTTCAAAAGCTTGCAGCCTGCTGTTGCTGCCAATCCTTCGTCCTGCAGATGCCTTTGTCAACAGGTGAAAAATTAGAGCTTCTTATCTGTTTTAGTTCTGATTAGGCCTTCTAGTTTTATTATAAGATTTCGATTAAAACAACCTTTTTCTTTACTTTATTTGGAGACCCCATCATTCCATCTTTACTTTGGTGACAGTGACTAGTCCTACTAATTTGGATACTCAAATTAGGACCTTTATCAGTTGAAATTGTAATGTAATTATAATGGCTGTGCATATTTCTTACTGGTGTTTCTGTTTCACTCTTCTACTTTACTTTATGCACTGTGTTGGGCATTTTCTAATCAATTAGATGGTGTGTTTTGCAGGATGCAAGATCCACGTGGACTTTCCGTGATGTCTGCTCCTAGCCTTAAGCCGAAATCCAACAATTCGACTTCTAAAATTGGGAAACAAGAATTCCTAGCGGAAGAATCCTCCCAATCAGAGTTTGGAATTGTTTCTACTGATTCACTTCTCAACCCTTCACATAGGAACTCGTACATCTCTAAAGATTTTGGTGGTTCTTTCCTAGACTTCACCTGATCAAGAAAGTCAAGACCAACATCCGCTTCGCCAGTTCATGGATGATTGGCCTAAGGACCAGTCCAGTCACTCAGTCTCTACTTGGCCTGAAGAAATAAAATCAGACTGGACTCAGCTGTCAATGTCGATCCCAATGGCATCCTCGGAGTTCTCATCATCCTCTTCCTCCCCAACGCACGAGAAACTTGTGCTCTCACCGCTGAGGCTATCCCGGGAGTTTGTGCCTACCCAAATGAATTTGGGAATGAGCAATGACCTTAGCGAATCAAGCCAGGAACAAACTAATTGGATACCTATCCCCTGGGGAAATTCAATGGGGGGTCCTTTAGGAGAGGTCATAACCAACACCACCAGCAGTGGGAAGATCTGCAATAACTCAACATCGCCGCTTAACCTCTTAAATGATGGGTGGGATGGCAACTCTCAGTTGGGATCTTCCCCAACTGGTGTCTTGCAGAAGTCAACGTTCTGTTCGCTTTCAAACAGCAGCTCAGGGAGCAGCCCAAGAGGAGGTGAGATCAAGAAGAGTAGCCTTGATGGGGCAAGCATATATGATGACGTGCTAGGTTCGACCTTCGCAAGTTCCTCAGTTCCATCCCTGTAAAATTGTCAAAGCTACAAACTGAGGAGACAAGGCATGAACTTGCAGTAACCATTTGTGATCTTTTCAGTTTCTCTCTTTTTCTTGTTCCTTATCCTCCTTTTAATTGTTTTTTTATTCGTGGGTTACAAACTAGACATGGTGATCCGAATATGCATAGGTATTAGCCAGTTTGGCTAGTGTGGATTTGTTGGTATCTATAGTTTCTCCCTTTATGAATTCTAAAGTAATTGATACTTTTGTTAATATCGCACCTTGTCTTGGTGCTTTTTGGGTTCCAAGAGACCTCGGTAAATGTTCTTAACTACTTCAACTACATGCGTGATGATGCAAGAGACCAATGTTTTGAAACCGGTTAATATTTGCATTATTGGTTGAGGTAGGGGAGGGTATATCTTTTGCAGGATTGTGGAGTAGTACAATTCTAGTGAGGAGGATCTGTCTGTCCAGAGACCGTAAAAACAGTGGGGACAAAGGCAAGTCAATGATGGTTGTGAACCTTCCATCATGATAATATAGAGATACCTTCCAAAACACATTTGTTGATAGATCATTGAAGGGGTACCCTATAAGTATAGGGCCCTCCTTTCTGGTGGCATTGCCCTTTCAACCTCCTGGTTTGGTTGATTTTGCAGTTGCAATGAATGATATTCAAATCAGAAAATAGAAAATAAGGTCTAGGAGTTCCCTGGCTTTGAGACAAGAGGCACTCTTGTGGGCTGTCACCCAACACGCAACAACTCTGTTTGGTTGCTTGGATATGGGCCCAGGATTATAGAGGGTGGTGGCGCCCTACCACCACTGAGTCTGACCCTTATTAGCACATGTAGGCTCTAGCCTAGTTCGACTTGTTATTGAGGCTAGCCATAAAAGGCCGGATGCGGTCAAGGATTTTCATCCAAATAATGTTGTGATGGGGACCGGGGCAAGCAAATAGAGGACCACCCCTTATCTTGTTATTGCTGTTCTTTTTTAAAATATTTTTTTTGATATGATGTGAGAATTAAACAGTTGTAAAATAAGTTGTTGAATGTTTAGTAAACTTTGTTTTTTTTTTTTTTTTTTTTTTTTTTGTTAATGTGCTTTTAACAAAAAAACAGTTTTCTAAGTGTTTGGTAAAATTTTATATAAATTGCTGTGAATATGTTAAATGACTGAAAATGATATGATATTTATATGATATAATAATTAACAAAGACAATAATGTAGGGGTAAAAATTGTAATTTTGTAAAATATGTGGGGGTATACTTGTCATTTGAAAATTTCATTAAATGGCCATTGATTATTATGCTTTGGAAAAAAAAAAAAGCACTTTTCTAGAAGCATGGTAGACCATAATTCTGCTTTTGTATGCTATCATTGACAACAGTTTAAAAAAAAAAAAAACACTTTTTTTGTTTGTTTTGCTAAACACATTTGATGTTTCGGATTTTTTAATAAGCTGTTTGTTTTTTTTTTAATCACCACAATCCCAAACCAGCCCTATGTTTGGACGAGATTAGATGAATTGACTTAGGTATGCCCATGCATTAATATGGCTTGCTTCTTCCATTCTGATCTTCGAGTGAGAAATTTTGAAAGAACAAATGGATGACAACTTTCTTATTTTGTTCAAGATGAAGGTTACTCACGAAGAAAAGTTGTCCATTTCAATCGATCCATTTTTGTGAATTGTGAGAATTAGGAAATATATCTTTTCTTCATAAGTAACCTTTAACTTGGACAAAATATGAGAATTGTCATCCATTTTTTCTTCAAAATGTCTTGAATTTAGTAATAGTCTTATCGAAATCAATTCTATCTAACAAACCAGTCCCAAAAGATTAGATGAATGAAGTTGAAACGAACAGATCTAATACATTATGAGCCATTCGCAAATATAATAACAACAACAAAGTCTTTTCTCATTAAATAGTGTCGGTTGTATAAGCCTATAACTGTTTAGGTGGTATCTAACAAAATTCCTTTCCTTCCTTTCTCCATGATTGGGTCAAAATTGAAATTGACCCCTCTTGGTGCTAACATATTTTCCAACATTTCGTTTTGATTATTTTATTCTTCCCCTTTAAAAATTTCAGATCCTTTTCACCATTTCACGTTTGTAAAATGTTAAAGTGCACCTTAGTTTTGTTTGACTGCTGGACCTGCCAATTGGTGTATCATCATCGCAGTGACAACTGCCATGAAATTCCGCACTGTAATGGCTTGAGTGCAACCAAAATCGGACGAGAGTGCAACCAAAATCGGACGATAGTACAAGTTATGCTTCTGTTTTATAGAGTGGGCACTTCTTGCCGCTGTTTAAAAATTGTATCAAATTCTGAGTTTCAATAATCTTTTGTCCCAAAATTTACTGTCACATCCCGGCCTGGGCACTCACCACATTCCGGACTCGACTCTACCGTAGCACGATATTGTCCGCTTTAGGCCCCGATCACGCCCTCACGGTTTTGTTTCTGGGAACTCACATGAGAACTTCCCAGTGAGTCACCCATCTTGAGATTGCTCTCGTGCGAACTTGCTTAACTTTGGAGTTCCTACGGAACCCGAAGCGAGTGAGTTCCCAAAAGGTCTCGTGCTTGGTAGAGATAGGGAATATACATATAAGGCTTATATGATCCTCACCCCTGAACGATGTGGGATCTTACATTTACTGCGTTCCGGTGATTTTTTATTGTTATATTTTAGTTATTACATACCATAAAGTTTACTAGAAAGTTGCTCTGTCTCACAATAACAACTTTCATAAAACGGTTACACCACGTCCTGTATCACTGAAATGTAATGTAGGTAAAAACTAACACATAATGCGTTATTAGTATGGATGCAACAATAAAGGTGGATGTGTGTTATAAGAGGTCTTCTCTGGTCGCACACTCAAAATTATGCTAAAATTGAATTAGTTAATACTACAAAAGATCCAATACAACATTAGATCTAATATTACAAAATTGACGTTTAGTGCACAAGTCCAACAATCTCTTATTTCACTAAAGCCAATCATCACAATGACGCACACCAAAACTATTAGGTATCTATCAGGCTGCTTCTGTGTTATTGCCTTAGTTATTGGGTTCCCTACTTTTTATCTGTCAGGGCATTAGTGATTGGATTCAAGACGACTTCACCATCAATTGCTTCTACATTTGTCTAAAGATCAAATGTGCTTACTACTCGAGTATTTAATATTTACACACACATAGGAGAGTGTTATAGTTAGTATTTAACTTTAAGTGTGATTGTGTAACTCGAAAGGAGAGATCATGAACTCTCTAAGGTCTGAAATATCTTGCCTATACGTAACCGTATTACTTTGGGAGCAAGAAATCTCTAAGATCTAATTTTAAATTTAGAACTAGTAATAATTTGCAAATATATATTACTAACATTACAAATGGGAGATGAACAACAGGAAAATAAAAAAGTGAAGGTGAAGAATGATTATAGTGTTTAGAAAACGTGGAAGAGAATAAATGTTGTTACAATTGCTAGTTGATGCTACATGTTGTGAATGACGTGATGCTAATGGTTGGCTAATCAAAGATGTGACAACTAGAATACTTACAGTGTAACAAAACTTATAGGCAATACACATGTTGGATGAGTTCCTTTGGCTGCCATCGTGTTTTTGTTGATTGGGTGAAAGCTTTGTTGCATTCTGCCAAGCTCTCTATTCTCGTCAATGGTCAAGTTTCAGGCTATTTTTCTTGTGGACGCGGGGATTGTCAAAGTGATCCTTTGTCCAAGAAGATGTGCTTATCTGTGGTATTTCTAATTTGGTGAATTCCGGAATACTGATGCCAATTTTCTCTCAAGGGGTGTGACGGTCTCATGTTCTCTTTACAGATGATATAATTATCTTGGGCATTAAAGTATGGTCCGCTCCTTTTAATTATTTTGGTGTTCCCATTTTTAAAGACCACGCGTTAATTTTGTTCTAGGCATCGCAGATAAGATCAAGGCGAAGTTGTCTGCGTGGAATGGGTCACAACTTTCTATGGCTGATCGACTTCAATTATTAAAATCCGTTTTGGCTAGCATGCTTGCCTACAACTTTCAAATTTATGAATGGCCAGTCTTTTTACTTCGTAAAACTGAGACTTGGTGTCGAAACTTTCTTAGCTTTGGCTATTTTGATGAATGGGGTGTTCCTTGGTTGTATGGAGTCAATGTTGTAAACCTATGGTGGAAAGGGGGTCTTGGCCTAAACAACTAGTGGTGCTCAATAAGGCTTTCTTGCTGAAAAAAAGGTTAGGAGATTTTATCTTCTATTTCGTCTGATTCCGAATTTCTTCGAGGCGAATTTTGGAGGGGAGGTAGGATTTGCGTTGTGCCGCTTGCTTGGCCCTTTCTCTAAAGGGTTGTTTTGTAACAAGTGCATAATGTCTTGAGACAAAGATCGGCTGTCAAGAACGTAAAGGAGGTAGAATGGGCAGTTGGTTAGATCAAGTATGGATCTTACATGGACGGTAGTTGGAGTCGGCGGCTCTCCTAGGGTTCCCTCATCTGGGATCCCTGGGGAAGAGGATCAAGTTGGCCCTTGCGAAACAAAAGATACGGTAAAGCTAGGACATTTATTGTATAAGGTCTACCTAATGCTAGATGCAAAGGCACATAATAGGTCGAACTCTTTTGATTTCTATGATATAGAATCAAATGATATTGAATCAAAGTGTCGTTTCTTATCTTAATTTTTTTTTTATTTATTCTTTATTTTCTTTGTTCCTTTTATTTTAGTAAAGTAAATAAATAAAAAAAAGGGAACTGTGGATTCTTGCACAATACATTTTCATGTATGTTATGGCTTATATAGTTTTGTCGAGTGTAACGTAGGCTTAGACAGTGGCGAAGCTACATAGGAGCGAGGAGTGGCGTCCGCCCCTCCCTTTGTCGGAAATCAAGCCCAGGAGCGATGGTTCCGCCCCTCTGGTCCTGTTGGAAGTGATGAAGTTCGTTTGTGTTTTCTAGGTTAATTGCTGCTGTGTAGCTTTGCTGCAGCAAGTTCTCTTTTTTATGTTTGCGAAAACCAGGCCAAAACAATGTCATTTTGGTACTGGTTAAAAAATTAAAAACTCTTCAGTTGGACGACATCGTTTGGGTTATTGAGTTAAAAAAAAAATTAAATATTTAAAAGAGTCCCCGGTGCCTTCAGTTAACCTCCAAAAGCATTCCAGAGTTGCTTCATGTAAGGCGAGAATTTCACCATGGTTAGACGAAATGGCAACTAAGGTTTTTTTAGTTAACCTC